TTTCTGGTTTTGCAAAAATATGTGTGGTACATTCATGAAACTCTTTTTGGCTGTTTTCTTTACAAAGGTATCAAAGATAAGGCCTGTCCTTAGGGCTCTTCAAAACTTGCATCAACCTGGAGTCCACAAATTTGTAAAAAGGTTTTTATCTTCATCGGAAACTTGTGATTAGAAGTGACCCAATCAGGGTTTGATATTGGTTAAGATATATCTAATTAAAATATAAGATAAACGAGAGAGGGGGACTAAGAGGGTTACCGTTTTAAATATAAAGCTGAAGTCTAAAAACAATATAAGTTAAATTCTAGAGAACATGTATTTGAATATAACTTTTACTTTGAAAACTTGAAATTGAATTGTCTCGCAGCAAATTCTCATATTGGAAATTTTGAATCATTGCTAAAGTCACTGACTTTATTGTTTCATGCAATTTGATCGTTTTTAGCTTACTTGGAAGAAAATCGCAGTAAAAATAATTAAGTTCTTAAATCGAGTCAAAGAATTGACACCCGCACACATTTGCAGAGCGTGCAAAGACAGGAAAAGGTTAAATAGTAAAAATACGGTAAAGTAAAAACAAAGAAAAGGGAACCAAGATTTAAGGTAACCAGATATTGTTCTTTATCATCTTTTTCTTGACTAGTTGCTGAAATTATCCAGTTGTTCATCTTAGTTGTATTGATTTATTGAAGTCTGAGTGCATGATAAGCAACATGATTGATTGTTGATTGGCCAATTTAAAACTGGGAAAACGCGACTCAACTTGACTACAGGTCGAACATTAATTTCGTTATGCGTTTTCAGTTTGACTGTGCGGCCTATTCAGGATTGTAAACGAAATGTTTTGACGACTTTGACTAATGGCCAAAATCTGCGGAAGTGAAGTCTTCGAGCAATCAAACAATGTCGTTTTGTTTCAAGTTTGAAGTTGAAGTTTTCCACTTTGTCCGTTTCTGCTGACCGGGTAAGTATTGCCTGAGGAAGTGATTCCTGAAAGATCCAGGAGCAGCTGTGAAGCTTTCCAAGACTTCGAAAGAAACGTTCTTGTAACCTTGAAGACACCAAGTGGTAAAATTTGAGTTGGTCCACCTAGTAAAAAGGGATTTGGAGTGAGCGGCAGATCATCTTTAATGTCGTCGGATACACGTTTGTTAGCGGTTTCGCATTCAATGTTGACTCAAACTCCGCAGTGAAAGTTGTCAGTGTTTTGCAGATAATTGATCTGGAGCCAATGAATTTGTACAGGGCGAGTTTAAAAGTACGCATTAGTTTTTTTCAAGAATTACCAAATTGAGGCGCTTCTGAATGGTCAAAATTCCCTTCAAAAGTTACTTAGAATTGATTGATGCCGTCCAAAATCTCTTTTTGTCTATAAGCTTTAAAGACATGTCTTCAGCTCAGTTTTAAAAGCGACAAACCTTGTTCCAGAATTAGAGATCTTTTTCTTTGGTTTCACTCGGCAGGAGGTTAAGCTTCTGATGCAGAGTAAAATAGTGTCCGATAAACGGCTTAAAAAAATTCCAGGTGAACAGCTCTGATGACAAGCCAGGCGAAGAGTAGGTTGTACACGGGTTACTGTTTACCTTGTAGAACAATGGGAAAGGGTTCAACATAACCTAAATCAATAAATGCGAAGAGATAGTGATTTGTAGATGACAGCCTTTTAATGGAAAGATCTGTTATTCCAAGATAATCAACTCGTTGTTGCATTCTTCTGCGCGGTATGCAGTTGTGAATGATGACACATTTAAGAAGTTTTTGGTTTAATTGGCCTTTGATAGGTCGTTTTCGCAGTGAGAATCAAGAACGTGCAAATTTCGTAATAGCGTCGATTGATTGAGTTATCACCAGCCAGAATGATTGGATATCTTACAGACAGTAGCAATGGTGCCCGGGTTTGCCGTCCTCTTGGGCGTATTATAGCAAGTTCAACCAGAAAATGGGCTAAAGTACAAGGTAGGTTTTTGCTTTCGATTGCTTTCTGTTTTTGAAGATTTGAGATTTCGAGAACAATATCTTGCCTTTGAGCAGTTTTGATGACCAGAAATTGCTTTTTTGCCAGATGCGACAATTGAAGACCTAGCATTGGTAATTTTTTCATTTTTCATTTGATGTTTTCATTGAACAAAAAACAGTAGGCAGTTGTCCGTAGTAGTCTTTTCCAGTTGCTGAAGCGTTGAGTATCAAACATAGGTTCGAATTTAAAACAAATAATGGCTGCAAAAACGGAGATGTTTTCCAAATTTATAATTTCCTGTGAAGGCCCGTTGTTGGATTTTTTCTTAAATAAATACGATCTTTGTAACCAGCGCGAGTGTAGAGACTTTTGTTAATATGTTCTCTGGTATCATCGTCAGCAAGGTTTAGCAATGGTGGAACGTAAAACCATTGCTCGGGTTTCGTTACATCCAATGTTTTCTGTGGTCGATTAGCCACAATTTTTTTGTGTACTATTTCTGGTATCGCAGCAAACGAAAAACCGTTGTGCTAACGGACCAAAAAAAAATTCCCTTTGTAATTCGTGTTCCTCGACAACGAACCAGGAAAGTTGCGCAGCGTACACTGCAGCTTGCAGTTCGAGATTTGAAATTGTAATACATTTGATCGGAGCAACCCATACGTTTCCGATGACTAATTTAAGCGTCTTCAAACCGTTGTTATTTGCAATTTTAATGTAGCAAACTGCTGCAGGAGCACATTTTACTGCGTCACAAAATGTGTGAAACTGAAATAAAGAATGATCTTTCTGGTTGAAGACGTTCCGTGGCAGCGTAATAGTTTCAAAACTTTCAATTTCATCGAGCCAAAATTTGTGATCCGGATGTTTGTTGATGTCTAAGGGAGGGTCTCATTGAACACCTTGAGACTACATCGCGTGTAAGATTTTTTGAATGCGAATTGTCATTAGGGCTACTTTGCATAAGGGGTCAAACAGTGATGCGGTGTACTTTAGCTGTTGTGGTTGAGTGGCGACTCCTGCATAAAAAACTTGACAAATAAAGATCTTTGTTGCTATCTCAGTTTACACCAACAACTCATTGTAACTGAGATGTAGGATCATTCAGTGCTACGAGGATGTTTGGATCAATGGAATCTATAAAAGAATCCACTTTGAGACAGGGAACCATTAATTTGCTTCATCTGTTCGATAGCTTCTCCTAAACTAGCTGAGGTAACGTATAAGTTGTTCATGTATATGTTCCGTTTAATTTTTTCGTAAGCATGCAAAAATTTTTGTTGATTGTCCGTCGCACACTTGCGATTGACATAACAAGCTACACAGGAAGAGCCTGTAGCCCAAAAATATGTGTTGTACATTAATGAAACTCTTTTTGGCTGTTTTCTTTACAAAGGTATCAAAGATAAGGCCCGTCCTTAGGGCTCACCAAAACTTGCATCAACCTGGAGTCCATGTCTGTAGATATAGCTTTTTTGTTCAGTCGGAAGCGAGAAATAGGCCACTCAAATTGCATGAAAGATCTGGAAGTCTGAGTTAGTTACTGTTGAGGGATTTTACTTGAAATCAATGGTATTATTTCAGACCCTTTTAAGTTTTTTCAGGATTTTGTCATTGGCCACCGGATGATATGGTAAAAATAATGAGTTTATGGCGTGTCGTTGTGAGCGTCTTTTTTGTGACATAGACTTTTTCTAAGTCTGTCATGACTGTGGCGCGATTTTTTTCGCAATTCAGGTTAGTTTTCAGCCGAGCTTATAAATTTTTAAAGTGTTTTTTAGCTAGTGAGCATTTGCTTTTTCTTTACAAAGTAATTCAATTTGATAGTGACCGTTGACCATTATGCCGGATATTTCTGATTTCGAATGTGAACGTGTCGAAAACGCAACGACAGTGTTTTCTGTTCGCATTCAATTGAATATTTTTGGGTATAAATTTTTATTTAATTGACTGTACGAATGAATTTGAGTGAAGTTCACAGAAGTAGTTTGCACTGAGTTAATTTTGGTCTTGTTGCGACCAGAGCAAGTCCATCCAAGAAGCGTTTCTGTTGCCCACGGACCGTTTTTTGAACTGTAGTTTGAGTTTTTCACTTCCCAAAATTAGGGGTTGTTGCTACCGAAAGTTTGAAGTGTGGATACTTGCTCCACATAACGCTGACTTGAGTAACATCCACTGGGGAAAAGTTAGAGTTGGGCACTGTTAAGACATCCGCCAGAATAACTGGGTTTCGAGTAGCGTTATCAGGCCTTATGAGAACCTCCAGCGAAGCGCCTTGGACCGTTTTGGTCTCGTACATCCAGAAATTGGAAGTTTATGTTTTTTGTTGTTTTCCAAACCAAGTTTAGTTGCAACTGATTCCAGTGACAAAGTGACGGAGCTACACTTTTCGAGAAAAGCATACTAGAGATGGTTTTGCCATTGAGTGACACTTCGCTTGGCAAGTAGGCATAGGCTGCTTGACCTGTCCTCCGATAACCAATTGCGCGCTAGGCAGCAGCTTTATTTGCGTTTTTGGCTGTATCAGCAGATGGATCCTGAAGAAGCGTGTGAAGTTTTTTGCCACTATTGTTAGTTCAACAAAACAGTTTCGAGTTGCAGTCAGAAAATTGTGGTTTGTTAAGCAGTTGAAATAATGCAATGTTTAAGCTGTCTCTTTCCGTTGCCTAGGATCTAATTCTTTGAACTGCTCACACTTGTAGAGTGGTCCGCAGGTGTCTCCACTTGGGCAGAAATTTGTTGTACTTGAGTGCGCGTTGAAGTTGTTTCGAGAGTTAAACTTTTGATTTTTTCCTTGATGATTATTTCTTTGACTATGGTTTTGTCTGCTAATTCCAGTAAAAGCACCAGAGTTGGAGTTGTTGGCGTTTCTTAAGTTGTCGGAAAAATTCGAAGATTGATTGCTCTCTGAATGTGTTGATACATTTATTCTCAACTTTACTTCTTTTCTATCAATTTGCATCATTGAAACTTTCACATTCAGCGTCCATATAAACAGTTTTTGCTCTAAAGAAATTGTGTTGATTTCTTCATCTTTTTGCAGGACGAAGTGAACTTGGCGTATGTGTCTAAGCGACCTCTCTTTGCTTTCTCACTAGAACCGAAGCAAGAGTGCTACAAATCCATGGACTTCGGACATAAACTCATCTTCTCGGGTGTCAGATTCACGACAGCTGGAGACGACAAAACAGACACGGTATATATATATCACGTCTACTCAGGATCTCTTTTACTTTTTACCTTTTTGCTACAAAAGGGGTAAGGGAGTGGAATCGTTACTAGGTACAAAATTCACATATGTCTAACTGTTAAATCAGTTCTTTATAGGGTGTCATATTTGTGACTAGGTACCAAAGGGGGATTAGAACCAAATATGTTAAAACTGTGAGTAATTTTCCGATCGTTTATCCCAGTAACTTCGCTCCTGATTTGTTATTTCCTGCATTTGATCTTAGTGATAAAAATTATTTCTTCTCTTTCACAACACAATTTTTCATTATTGATAAATATTTATTAAGTTTGGGTTTTAAAAAAAAAACATTCAAGCAACCATTATAACGCAATTTTCTAAAATTTTGTTAGTTTTGAGCCGCACTAGATTTAGTTGCAAATTACATTGGAGGCCGATCACATCTCGTTTTGCCTCAATAATTGATTGTTTTTATTCAGGGTCTGCTGAAAAAAGCAGAGCAGCTGACGGACTCTATCAAATTCCTCCTAAAAGAGTTGAACCTTTTCGAAGAAAAAGAAGAAGCAACATCCAACTCGACCATATCCTCCGCGCCCTCCAATAGAAACTGGCGCACCCTTGAGAAGTTTCGGAGGCAGAAGAGTGTGCATGACGATGGAGGGAGGGAGGTGATGTTCGACATTTCAGCCCCCCTTTTCTGGAATGACTTGATGGGGGAGCAAAAGGAGGAGGCATCATGGGATCTATTCCAGGAACAATTCAAGTGATTATATTATCCTTTAACACTTCCCATACTATTCCGAACAGAAAAATTTGAACATAAATAGTCATTGGAAGCGTACCATTTGCCATAAACATAAGAACAAAAGCTTAAGCACATAGATAAGAAAACTGGTTCTTTTTCTGCCATTCAACCCTTGACGAGTATAACTATCTAGAACGAATCAGTTGTGTGAAAACTTTCAGCTAGTACATGCATTTGCTATCAAATTTGAGTCAATTTCCATCTATAAAAGATTTTCATGCATCATTGAAAGTTCATATCAGTGTTCATTTTTTCAGGTTCAAGTTTAAGAAGCACCTGGACAAGTTCTGCACCGGAGACAAGGACACTGATTGGTTCCTGCAGGTGCTGCAAGGAGAGCTGATCGATGCTTCTAATCCTGACAATCCGACTGTCACTAAGGAGAAGTTTCTCAGTTTCTGTGCAAGTGGACAACAGGTTGGTTTATGATTGATACCAAAACATATAAATAGTAAAATATATACTGCATAACTTTGTTCTGTTACAGAACTTATAATCTGCCACGTATTTCGACCTATGTAGTTCAGATCGTTTTCTCCTGAACGTGCCAAATTCCTGCTAAAACAGGTTCTAAAGTGACTAAGGTTTCGGCCTCTTAGCTGAAAGTTTGGTGATTCGAGGCCCACGGTGATTTGTGTTCGTTAATAATTGTGATTCTAAAGAGTACAGTGGCTCGCTGGGTCTCTTAACTCCAAAACTCAAATTACCTAAATTTAATGAAAGCTTGCAACAAAATAATTGACATGGTTCGTAAAAACGCAGCCATGGTACTATGCAAAACTTTGCAAAAACAGGCCAAAAGGCGATTTTAGGCACTTTTTGGAAACTTTTGACCAAAAATTGCGTTTTTTCGGCGCGCGCTCTCCCTAAAATTTATTATATATTGGCGCCAAAGGCGCCTTTAGAAAGTTTTTAGGGTCAGTTGCCAAAAATTGATATCTCAAGATAGTACAAAGAGGACTCTTTGGGTCCGCAGGGGTTCGAATCCCTGAGGGGGGAGGGCATTCGCCGCCCCACCTAAATCCGCCCCTGGATGTATATGTAAATTTAAGTTATAGTCAGTAAGAGTTTGAATTCTTTAATATCATTTAAATCAGCCGTTATAATTGTCTGTTTTTTCAAATAACTTTTTTTATTTTCTCCTAGTTATTTCACCGCCATCATGATGAAGAGGTAAACCCAAGCAAAACACTATGAATCGATCTGAACTCAAATGACTTTGCTGCCATACATTTTTGTTCACCTGCCATTTCATTTCGAATTGTCGTCAGAACTTGGATTACGAAGCTATTATCTGCGTAAAATCTTGTGAAGTCTCTAGCCATGTTGCTCTGAAACCATGAATCAAAATTTAATTCGATTTTGGATGCGTTCTTAATTCAGTACTGCTTAAATGCTGCGAAATTTCAAAACTTGATGATCTGGAACTCATGAATCGAAATTCTACTCGATTCTGGATGCTTTTTAATCTCACAATTGTTTCAATGTTAGGACCAGCGGGTGTGGTTCTCCATGTCCAGTTACGTAGCAGAGTACTCAGCCATCAGTGAGGTGTTCTCTCTCCAGTCCACTGTCAGACTAGACGCCATCAACAAACTCAAGGAGGTAACATCTATCAACTTCGGACTCAGGACTCTCCCTAACACTAAAACCCAACCCCATTGTAACACTATCAGTCAAAAACGTAAGTGTTATATTTTGATTGAAGGAGCGCAAAATAAATATGAAGGAACGTCGTTAAGAATCTCGTCACTTTTTCAAACAACAAAAAACTATAGAAGAACATTGAAACTTTTAAGTAATCTAAATTATTTGGAGCATTAATTCTTATAAATGCAATTATTTGATTCAATCATTTTTTGTGCTGTCTAGTACAACAGCAGGGCGGCCCAGGAGACGCTAATGGACCTGACTAGAGATAGGGACCCCAATGTGAGGGCAACAGCTGCCGTCACCCTCGCAAAAGTAGTCGAAGAGGGGGACAGCAGAGTGGCAGACAGGTACTCTATACTTACATTAGTCCCCACGCCACCTCTCTTTTGGCAAGAGAGCACACTGAACATTGCATACGGGGAGACATAGATGGTAGACGCAAATTTGATAGCCTTCCATATACCCTCTGTCAAGTCCAGAAACCTCAGTTACTATTATTACGTATTATTGTTCCGACTTTCGTACCGAAAGTAATGGAATATTTGTGCTCGGGTTGATTTTTTTTCTTCAGACAAAACTTCGACTCATTAATTAGCCATTTTTGACGAAAACTTTGTATAATTCAAAGGGCATTGTTGCCTTGAGCTTAAATTTGATAAAATGTTTAACCTATGATCGTTTTTCGTAAAGTTATGGAGGTATAAAGATTGCCATTTTGGCCGATTTGGGACAATTATTGCGCGATATATTTCGCGCTTTTAACGCAAAAGCGGAGATTTAATCCGTCCTAGAAATCATTCCAAATTGGTTGAAGGAAGCGTGAAGCGTATTTGCCATAATTGATTTGTTACAAGCAGCGAAATTTATCACTTTGTACTTTTTATTTTTAAGATTGCGAAAGTTCAACCCATTCCTAAAAATGGCACAACCAATTCATAAGCCAATTCATAAACCAATTCAACCAATTAATAAAAAATTCATTGATTAATAATCGCTTGAGAAGTTTTCTGAATAAATATAATATATTAACAGCATATCAGAACGGATTCCGAAAAAAAACACAGTTGATGCTATCTTAGAAATCAGTGATAAAATAGTTGAGAATTTAGAAGATTTTGATGGCTCCGTGTGTACGGTGATATGTCTTACAAAAGCGTTCGGCACAGTTGATCACAAAATCTTACTGGAAAAGTGCGAATTATACGGTCTACAGTACGTTATTTACGATCGTAAACAGTACGTTAGTTATAGCAATTCAATATCAGACACCAAAACAATCTACTGTGGTGTACCACAGGGTTCAGTCTTGGGTCCTTTGTTATTTTTGTATGTAATTAATTTGCCAAAGGTATGTAGGCATAGTAAAGTTGTACTGTTTGCTGATGGTTGTGCATTGTATACAACAACTGAAACAGGAAATCAGCAGCAGGTGAATTCTGATACAAGCAATGTTGAAAAACGGTTTTGGAGAATAAACTTACCATAAACAAGGATAAAACAGCCACCTTAGAATTTAACAGGAGGAATTCTCTCACAATAGATCCCATAAGTACTTAAGTCTAGAAATTGATGAAAAATTTAACTTCAAAATACACATCGATAAAACTTTGGAAAGGGCAGCTAAATCTTGATCCGTGATCTGTCAACTCAGATATTATTTTAGCACATCTACACTGCTCAAGATATACAAAACGTGTATTCAACCAATATATCAATATAGTGTACTCATCTATGGCACAGCTAATAGGACAGACTTAAAAACATTAGAAAGCCAGCAAAGACTCATGTGGGGAAACTGTTTTAAGAATAAAAAGTGGGAAAGTCTGAAACATATTTGGGACAAACATAAACTCTGTTTGGTTCGAGAAATAATTGTATATGAGCTTTTTAAACTTATGGTTGAAATTATCAGACGATTATGTGGAATTAAAAAACTTCATGAATACATAAGTGAACAGGAGATAACAGATACTATCAAAACAGGCAATAGAAGAAAAACTTCGCAGCCGAAATAAGCTTACTACAAGAGCAAAAAGGAAATCGAAAATAGGATTCCTATATTGTATAATAAGTTCTTACAGTTCGATAAAAATATTCTTCTTGAAGCGTTAACAACTACCAATGAATCCTTGTTTTTTCATAAGTTAAGAGACATATATATTTGTGACAACGAACTTTTTCTAAAAGTGTTATGGTAAATTTCACCCCATGTTATAGTATTTTTGCTTATTTTGTTTTGATTGCTAGACAACACCAAAACAAACAGATTTTATTCTTTCAGTTTTTTGTGATATTTGAAGAAATTTTGCGGTCCTTTTGTCTATATGATTTTAGTTTAAAATGTAGACGAAAATGTTTCGCCCAAGGAGTTGCCACCTGACAGGCTGATGCAATTTTGATATTCTCCCAAGCCGATTTAAAAATTCCCTATTTAAAAATCCCCATTTTAAAAATTCTTAGTTTATTACATTCAATGATTTCATGCTAATACTGCTCTATAGACCTTAAAAGGCAGTCGGAACATTCAGTGCTTCGCCCTGATACGAGCAGTCTTGTTACTATTAAGTCTGTTATATGTTAGTTTCAAAACTGAAATCTCCAAAGACCGAAGGGTGATCGGAGAAAAGGTCTGAGATTTTGTGGCATTTTTGATTTCCTAATTTAATTTATCAATAACGGAGAGAGAAATTATTAATAACCGCTTCATTAAAAAAAACGAGTGGTCGATTGCGATGCAGATTCATGAATCAGAATTTTTGAATTTACCAAGACGCTGACTTGCAGAAATACTGGCTGCAGGGACTCCCGGCGAGTAATACCCTTCACACGGGAACATAGAAGCAAAAAACAACTGAACTACTAATGATTTTTTCTTTTCTCTTGATCATACGCTTCAAAAGGGAAATATAAATCTATTCCTTGCTTCAGGTTGGCTGCTCTGTTGAAAGACAAAGACAGATTAGTACGAGAGAGTTCCTGTGTCGCACTTGGTAAGACTAGACCATCTATATAGTCTCTTCCATTATAGGCCCACCAACCTAGGTCCAAAAATAAATAGCTTCCCCCACTCTCTTACACTGTGATTTTATTATCATGAGTGCAATGGGAAATACTTAAAAAATACAATGGTAACTATGGGCAGGTGCGGATGTAGGAGTTTCTCGAGGAGGGGGGGGGGGCGGATTTTTAAAAAAAAACTGAAAATTTTGTCGATTTGTCGACCTTTTTTTTAGGTCGACGAAAACGCTTTTGTGAGCTCTCCCAAACCCCTATAAAGGCCCAAATTTTGTGGGCCGCAGGCAAATTTTTGAAAAAAGCAAAAAAAGAGAGGCATTTTTAGGCACTTTTAGGAAAATTTCGACCAAAAAATCCGCCACCCCCCCCCCCTAAATCCACTACTGACTATGGGTGTTGGGTTTGATGTACAAACTACACCGGGTATTAACCTCCTTTGTTACAATGACCAATTTAAGAGAGCCAAAGTTTTTAAAATTATTATGTGTGGTAGAAAAAAAGCGGGAAGGAATCTTCAGCTCAATACCGCGAATGATTATTTACCACCTAGCAAAGGAATTTAAAGAATTGTATAAAGCTGAATATTTTCCTAAGTTTATATTTTCTCACAGAATTCGGATCATGTTTAGCGTCAAACCAAGCAAACTTCTGACTTTAAAGTTAGAGACAAAATGCATTTATCTATTAAATGACAATTCATTCGAAAAAATCTCTCCAGGTCGTATTAAGAGTGTTGAGAAGGTGGGTGACCTGGTGCGAGTGTGGAGGAATGACGTCATCAGCACAGTCAGAGAGGCCGCCCAGTTAGCCCTAGAACACATCGACTCCGAGGAGGCCAGGGAGGCCATACACATCACGAAGATACTGGCAGACGAACTCAAGTTACTCACTGCTTCATGAAGAGACCGAATATGCACATGGAAAACAACACAAAAAACATAAAATGAAGCTACCCTCTTAAACTTTGCCACAACTTTTTGTAAACAACGCAAAAAACATAAAATGAAACTACCCTCTTAAATTTTACAACACCATTTTGTATTCGAGATATGCTGGTTATGTTCCAATCAACAGGGAGAAAGACTTGCACCTCTTTGTTTTTTCCTGAAAACTTCACTTGACCTTTATAGATATCTCCGAAGATACTTTCCATACATTCAGATCTCCGAATAAAAACGAGAAAGTATAGAAAGTGATTTTCAAAGAGCGCATATTAACTATCTGGTAGTTTTCAAAAAAAAACAAGAGTAGCCGGTTGCTGACTATTGCGACCAGGGTTATCTCAGCAAAAAAAATTATTTTAAAAATTACAAAAAAGATTTTAATTTATTTTTCAAGTTTTGTATGTATTTTTGTGAAAACGATGCGTGGAGAGCTGCATCTTAGCTTAATGGCAAATTTAATATAAGAGTAGTTCTTAGTTGTTCAAATAAGGTCAGCTCTACCGGATAACTTCTTTAAAAATAAAGTAGTATTTATAATCATGATAAAATGTCAGAAGTTATTCAAAAGAAAATTGTCAATTTATAAAAATCCAATATGTAAGGATATCAAAAGGCCTTATTAGATAGGCTTATTCAAGTGAGGCTCAAATTTAGCGGTACAATGTTAAACTCTCTAGGTACTAAGAAATAGGTTCTAAGAAACGATAAAACACATTTTTTTTCAGAAAAGCATCTATCATTTCCTAAAAAATTATTGGCCTATAACTTATTGGCGAAAATTAGTGACCTAACCAGAATTTTTTTCGGAAACTTATCCTTCAGCCAAGTAAGGATTTAGGATTTTCCCGAGGGGGTGTTTGAAAAAAGTTTCAACAGTTTTATCGACCTTTGTTCAGTTCGACTAATTTGATTTCTGAGCCCTCCACAATCACAAAAAGATCCTATTTTGATCATTTTTTCTAGGACGCATGCAAAGTTTACCAAAAATGGGCCGGAAAGGTGTTTTTAGAGCGTTTTGTAAGGTTTTGACCAAAAAGCGCATTTTTTATTTGTGCGCTCTCCCTCAAAATTAGTGTATATTGGCACCCAAGGCGCCTATAGAAAATTTTTAGGGTCAACCAAAACTTGATTTCTTGAACATTGCCAAAAAAGGATCCTATTTGGTCGGCAGGGGGTCGAAACCCCGAGGAGGAGTGTTAGATTATTGACAAAACAGTAGAACAACACTCTCAAAACTCAAAAATTATATGCTAATGAACAAACTACTATGCCGTTTGATACTGAATAGTTCTATTTTCAAATAGCCATTCTCAAATCGAACAATTTGATTTTTTTAAATGCAAGTTCCATTTAATCTCAACCATGACTTCATGCAAAACAATCAAAATTATGAGCTGCAGTGAATTAGATTTCAACGAGCGTGATATAAAGGGAATAACATGTGCATTTATGAAAGTAAAACTTCGGAATGACCAATATCACGCTCTCACTCAAGTCACACTCAAAAGTCTCACTAAAAATAGCAAGTCTCACTCAAAAAACTAAAAATTTTAGTACTTCAAAGTTTTAATCAAAAAACCTCTTTCGAAAAATCTGCTCTTTGTTTCATACTACTTTCAACAGGCAATAGACCCAGCTTGAGACCCTCAGTGGTTTAATGCTGATACTTTTTAAACATTCAAAACGTCAAAAACAGAGTAGAGAGTGTAACTCAATTAACAATCTCTTTAACATAGATTGGTTTTCCTTCACTACCACCCGGGAGAACTTCCCCAACAAGAGCACCCGTTTTGTGGCATTGTGTCAAAAAAAGCATCTACGACACAGTCACAGATGAAGACGAACATCCGGTCGAGCCAACAGCATTGGGTGCTAAACCAAATGCCGATGAGCACGCCAAACGCGACAGTGAAAGGCTTGCATACCGAAAGCAACAAGCGAACATCATGAAACTCAAAAAAGAATGATATCTGCTCCTATCTAGCAATGGTACTTGATTGTTCGAGCTGGATGTTGTTCAGGCATGACTGAGTCGACAGGAAAGGCAAAGGTGATGGTCACCTTGCTTGGAAACTAATCTAGAAGACATAATAGATCGACGAGGCAACCACAGTTGTCAACCTGATGCGCCAGCTATCTTGTCGTCAGCTCAGAGACAAGGAAGAGAAGTTCCAATATTTCATACGAGCACGGGAGTTGAACTCGAGACTCATTGACGCCGGAGAGAAGTTGTCAGACACGTTACCGAATGGCTTACCTCCTCGATATTAACACTTTGTGGTACAGGAAAGCTTCAAAATCTTGCGGCTGTAACCGCCAAAAAAAACTGAAAGCTTGGAGTCGATATATAAGCAAGCGATGACCACGGATGCAGGAAGACAGCAGGAAAATGCTAGGGTAACGCATGGTGATGACCCAGAGGTACCCTGTGCCATCCTCCGTGATCTCCAGAAGGAATATTCGAGAGTGTACAAAACGATTATCTGGGACATCCCGAGAAAAAACAGGATGGCGGAAAACTGCCTGTGGCCCCTTATTGATCTCCATGAGACAACGCTGTCTAAAGTCCCAGTAAAGATGACGACAGCACAACGTTGGACCCTAATAGAGGTTTACGAGAGGGATGCTTTCGTTACCGGTGTTGTTCAAAATTTTTCATCACGCAGTGATGAGGCTAGGAAAATTGTCCACGACAGGGAATCTCCAGAAAAAGGTCTAGATTGGCAATGAAGACCAGGATGGTTCTTTCCCCCACACAAAGCCGGGAAAAGAAAAGCCGAGAACTGAAAACATACAAGGTTTCGACCTAAATTTTCGCGGATGACTCCTCAATCATAGGAACAATGAGAAAAATTGAGAGTGGGTACCGCCAAACAAAACGGGCTATGGCAATGTTTGATGAAAAGAGTAATCAGGTTAAGGATAAACATCTTGTCCTCAGCAGAGTCCGCTGATAGCAACCGCATGCTAGGTGTATGGCTAGGCGAAAAAGCTTACATACAAAATAGGCTCGTTTCGCGTAATCAATCATCAAAGCCAGACTCCAGGCTAACAGACTGCCGAAAACCTTCCAGGCCGGCATCACCCAAGCATGGGTAGAGAGCACACTTCTCTATGGCGCCCAAGCCACACATAATTAGAAGAGCGAGAGGGACAAAATTTGAAGTTTTGTTGACCGATTTAAACTAAGTTGATATTTGGAGTAATAAGAAGGGACCGCCTTTCATTAAAATGGAGTTTAAACACATCAACATGCCTCAAACTTACAGGAATTTTAACACTAAACCTATTGAGATCAAATGGATTGATATACAAGTATAGCGAGTTGGACATGTGTTGAGGCTGAACGACTTTAGACTTATCAAGCATATGATTTTTGATTAGTCTCGAGAGATAAATAGCAATGGCAGGAAAAGATTCAAATGCCGAGACACGATAATCATGTGGCCCAAACTACTAAATAAAACCGATCTAGACAATCGGGGCATATCAAAAATTGCGGTGGACAGACAAAAATGGAAAATTTTTGTGGCAGACAGACATCTGAGGTCATGCAGAGGAGGGGAAAAAATTAGGTTCCAGCTGGATTTAAACCACACGCCTTATTCGACTTGAGTATGCGTTACTTCCATGCCAGATGCGCTGGTTAAATGATGCAACTTGATTAAATTATAATAAGCGCACTAAAAAGCCGAAAATTTATTTTAAAAGTTTTTCATGTTAAATATTTTAATTTGTATTGCGGAGGGCTTAATATGGTGATTTACGTTTCCTAAAATTTCTCGTTAGAGCTCATTCATTATAAGACTGACAAAGCGTATTGAAAAAAAGTTAGGAAGATAAGCCGACATAAATAAGCCGAACGACCTTTGTATAAAAAATTGTATAAAAAGCTGTACAAATACTGTATATATGTATAGCTGTTCAAATTATGTTTTCAGATTTCAACTCGGATCGATAATCCAAGAAAGTAGATTAGATTTCAAATTAATTTAGTTTATCCATACATCTATTTTTATCAATTCTTGTAATGCACATGAAAGTTCCGAAGAACATCGAGACCATATACCAAGAGATATTTACTCGATAATCACCAATTTAGCGCATAAGCATGCAGTGGAGGACTACCTCAAAATCTTGTCACCAATTGCTTCGGCGCTTGACATGCTTCAGAAGTCCGCCTCTAATTTAGCAGATGCTGTCAAAATTTGGTCAGAGCTTTCTGTTAAGTTGAATGCTGTTTTACCTACAGAAAAGCAGGCACATCTTGCAAAGAGAAGGAACATGGCACTGAACAAGGCTCATTTCCTTTATTTCCTCCTTGACCCTCGGTATGTTGACTTCAAAAAAAACAAGCCAAGCTGAAGAACAAATTGCACTCGATTTTGCTAACGAAATTAATGAAAACATTCTTCCGATGATTGCCAATTTTTGAGTAAAAGCTGAGCCATTTCATGACGGTTACTACAGGGTAGCATCGGATCTTGGATTGGTGGAAACTTTTCGACATTGATACTGAAGTTATTCGTTCAGTCCTTTCTTGCAACGCAAGTACCGCACCTCTAGAAAAGTTATTCTCGACATTTGGATGGAAGCATAGCAAGGAACGTATCCGCCTGGGCACAGAAAAATCTGGCAAACTAGTTTTTTATTTTAAAGTACTCAACCAGTGATAATCATGAATTAGAATTTCATGTATACTTTTCTCTGTTAGAAATTGATTTCGCGTTGTTTCTCTTTTTAATTATAAGCCGAATCAAAATAATCAAAAAAATCTTGTTAATAATCAAAATCATTGATTATAATCAAAATAATCCGATTAAATTGATATTTCAAAATAAATCGGATTTTTTTTCCAACTCTGGTTATGCAGTAGCCAGCCCTTGAGGTTTTCATTCAGAATTTAGTTGGTTCAAGGTCCACCATGATCTGTATATACTATTTCAAAATAAGGGAATTATTTTTTGGTTTAACAAAAAAAACAGTATGGTTGCAACAACACCCATGTTGTTCATTGACCGAGCTGAAAGGAATAACTGAAAGATTCCGTCATTTCTAGGGCACTTAGTTCTCACACATTTTTTTTTCTTTTTTGTTGAACATTTTTGACAACTTCAATTTCTAAATTCTAATTGAGAACAATCACAAAGTTGAACTTTAATTTAGCAAGCTGTAATTTCACCACAAAATGTTTGGCAATTTTATCATCAAATGAATTATAAAACGATCCAAAATTATTGGTGAGTTCTCCGGACTATGAAACATCGAATGTTAATTCTCCTTTCATGCTGTATCGATGATACTCATCCGCTGTTTGGTCCTTAGTAGGAGCATTTTTTTATTACAAATCGTGTCTATCTTTCTGCTGTTGATTATCCTCGTAGAACAGAAAGTCCTGAAACAATTATGTGCTCACGAACGTAATTCAGGGGAAAAAACACTATACGATTTTACGGAGGCCATTTAACTAATCATAGACCAAGTTTAGTCGTCAACATATTGTCACTTAATTTTAAAAGAACCTAAAAAACACGATGTTAGGCAGTATATAGCAATTTTATATATTTTTTGCTCAGAGATCTGCGGGTTAGGGGGATATTAACGTGGAACAACTTTTGCAACAAATAGAACGAGAAATGAACATTCTTGATTTTAATCCAAATACAGAAATCCAAAAACCTGAAGATATACATTTATGTTACAAAAGTCGAATGAAGACTATTTGAGAAATTTTAAAAGATCACAAGGTTGCAGAGTAGTATGCGCTTCATAGTTTTTAAGGCACCCAGAAATAGAAAAGACAGAAAAGATTATAGAAAGAGAAATAAATGAATCTGAGGACTTTGGCTAAGCAAACAATCCCCCATTTCCGTTCTCATTTCTCTCCTGGTCCATTGCCGAATTGTCTTCGTAGAACAAAAAATCCTAAAGGTACAAATGAACATGAACAACGACGACCTAACATGAAGTCCAACTATTCAACGAATGGATTCAAGGTATTCAACGAATGGATTCGTGCAAAATTTTGATACATGAAAATAAAACAAAAAAGTTTAAAATAAGTAAAGTTAAAACTAAAGTAACTCACGATTAAGAAGACGGAGCACATGAGAAGTGCCTTGGCACGAACATCCAAGTCCTTCGGAACTAAAATAAACACTCAATAACTGACGAACACTCAATATATGAACTAAATTCTTAATAAGTGAACTAAACTACAATTGATAGCTGACGGATCGATGAGTGATCAATATTGATCTTCGATGGTTTTATGCATAAAATACGGTGTCCTCCTTCTTTCAAAAAAGAGTAGTGAACCACTATTAACCACTAAGAATAGTGAATTGGCGCCAACGATTTGCGAGCTTTCCAACAGAGGGTATACAAAATTAAGAGCCGGTTATCGCCACGAATCGATGACGCGCGTTAAGCACCCATCGACGAAATTTAAGCGGTTAAAATTTTGAGGTAAATGAGGGTAGGAAATGAGGGAAGGGGGCCGTTAGTGGGGTAAAGTATTTAGGGGGCAAAATGGATGGTTAAAAAGTGGCGCGATAAAAAGAGGTGGAGTTAAAAAATAGGGAACCACAAATACCTCTAGGTACGGAAGAGCCAGAATACTGGGGCATAAAACAATAGACGGGGGCATCCAACAACACTTTTACTTTCAAAAACTGAAAGATAAAAAAAATCAACTTTTAAGTTCTTTTTACACTAAAATGGTCAGATCTGCAAAATTACTGGGTTTCAGATCTTCGTTTTTTGAACGACTTCAATACCAAAATCACTGAATCATTGAATAAGACTCTTGTTTAACCTAATTCTCTCTTTTAATTAGCCCGTACACGTATCATTTGCTGCCATCAGCAGATAAACCATCAGCATATTTAATTCGAAAACATCGGACTTTTTCTTAGTTCAAAACAATTTTTGAAATATGATGAACACCATCTTTTTCAAAAAATTAAGCAATTTGAGCAGGCAAAAATTACAACCTCTAAGAGTACCCCGAGAGCAATCAACTACAGAGTGGGAACTTCAAATATCAAAAAACTTTAAAATTTATGTTTTTGAAAAACCATAAAAATTGTCGTATCTCGTAAACTAAAAGGGTTTGCTCATTCATAACTGAAGTCAAATTCGCAACCCCAAGGGAAAGCCTAAAAGCCAAATTTAAATACGAAACCCGCATTTATATAAATAATGGACACAGAGGCAAACTTGAAATACAAAAAGTATAGGATTAAAACCGCAAGAACTATCACGAGGACTTCGAAAGCTGTACGCGTAGAAGAAACAACTAGAAACAAAATAACGAAAATCATTTTTTTAATGTTTAAAAATGTTAATTTAAAAAAAAAACGAAGTGGAGTTCAATTTGAGCTTTCAGTAAGCTTAAACTCGGGGTCATAGTCTTAACGATCTCATAAAAATATAAATTTGCAGGAATTAAAATATTAGGTAAATAAGCCAACAGAATTAAAGCCGACAGCCAATTAGCTGAGACTGAACCAAAACTGTCTGCAAAACCTAATTGAAAAATACTAATACACTTCCCAAATAGAATCTACGAAAGCCATATAGGTACTTAAATCAAGTATACACAATTCGGAAACTAAATCGAAAGCCGAAAAATCATCAGCAAAAAAGTAATAACAATGTTTTATGACTATTCATACAACCAATCTATCGGAATGAATGAAACTAGTTTTGAAAGAGCAGGCAAAAACAATAGAATGCAAAATCAGCATCGGAACAAAACTTACCAGGCGGTAACGAAACAGAAAAACCTTAGCAGAAGCCCTTCATGCAGAAAAAAAATTCAAAAAACTCTTAACGAGAAATTATGAGTTTCCCTTCCCCTTAGAACGCAAACGCATACAAAAACTTTTCTCGGTCATCAAGCGAGGCAATAAGGTGCCATTAAGTCCATATACACTGAGCCGAAACAGACAAAGTCGAAAAAGTAAAAAAAAATTGATTAAAAAAAACGAAAATTTAGTAAAAAAGCAAATTTCAATTCAACCAGATTTTTTAAAATGCTAAAACACTAAGGATCTACAGTGAAATTTGTCTCAGCACAAACAAAGGAATCTTAGCTCTGGTAACGAAGCCGACAAAACATAAGCTGACATAATAGGCAGATTTTTTTTGAACAGGAATTTTTACCGTTTGAAAAAAAAAACAAGCTCTGGTCAGATTCAAACCCAGGACTTTTGTCTTCCCATGCGTATTCACTACCTCCAGGCTAGATGTGCAGAAGACACTAAGAAAATTGATCTGGTTATGAGCCAAGTTACCACCAGGAGTCGATGAGTCCTGTGAACAAAGTTATTTACGGGAAAAACGCAAGGGTAATAATAGATAGCAGATAGGAAGATATAATGGATAGATAGATTAATGTTCATTGTAGCAAGTCAAAGGTCGAAAATTATCGAAATTAAATGGTGACATGCCACGGAGCCGAATACCCGGATAGCCAAAAAATAAATTCGTTCCCGGATAGCCAAATTTTTTTGTTCCCGGATAGCCAAAATCTTTTTTGTTCCAGTTAGCCAAAAAATTCGCTTCGTTCCACACCAAAAATTAATCGCTGAAAATACTCAAGTCTTTTATCATTCATAATAAAAAAAAAGATTTTTTTTCACATTATAGCCCCACTCCCCATCCCAAGTAACTTATAGACCATCGGAATAGACAATTTATAAAATGGGGTAAAAAATTGCTGAAGCAAATTGAGGTTTTTTGAATCGGCTAAACTTGCGCTATCCCAAAACGCTGCAAAGTTCATATTTTTGACAAAGTTTTGCAACGGGTGCAAATAATTGAAAAAAATTTGAAAAATCGAGTTTTTGAAAACTTTTCTGAAGCCTAATCTCTGCGTCTATCTCAATACTCTTAAATAGCGGAACAGTTTTTATTAGTTTTTTTTTTAGTTTTAACAGTTTTTATTTTCCAGGTAATGAAAAATATTTTTTTATTGGGTAGCCTAAAAAAATTTTGTTTCCAGATAGCTGAAAAAAATTGTTCCCGGATAGCCAAGAAAAAACTTGTTCCCGGATAGCCGAAAAAAATTGCGTTATCTAAATAGTCGTACTTTTATTGCTTTCTAATTCAATGAAATCAAAGCTATTACGCATAGAAAATGTTTTGACTATATTGGGTTTTTGGGTAGCCAAGTTCCGAGAAAAAAAACACGATAGATTAATCGTTCGAATAAAAGTGGTTCTTATTTCGAGACTAATTTGCTTGTTTAGTCAAATTTTGTTTTGTTGTTAAACAACTGAACAAGAAACTTACAGTTGTTTCGGCAATCCGGGGATGCGGATTGATTGGTACGCACCAATTAACTTGGCAGCCGTTTGTTTTCAATTATAGCGACAAGACACAATAATAACCTTCCCGTAGCGCTTCGTCGTTTTTCTGACCATGATAAATTTGTTTCGGAAAACTGTTTTATGCTTCTATAAACAAGCCTAAGTAAAGGCTGACATTTGACAAAAATTACAAAACGACCGTCTGGATGAAGGTCAAAGATAGTTCTTAGTACAGAAAAGGAGTGATGAAAAACCATGATCATCATTCTCGCAGATGAATAGTTTTGTTAATTGTGTTTATGGACAAAACATGTTTTCATACAGGAGAAAACCCTTTTCTATTGCGTTTATGGACAAAATACAAAATTTCAAGCAATACATGTCTATTTTTTGATTTTTTTCATGAATGAAAAAAAGTTCATCAAACAGGTTTCATTCAAGCCTCTATAAGTAAAAACTTGTAGAAAAAGAAAAAAAAGTTTTTCATATAGAATAATTGTAATTCGAAGTTTTGACAGACCTGGTTTTATCTAATTTCAATCTGATTAATTATTTAAGTTGACAGGAAAGCATATAACCAGTTTCCATTTGTTTTAGCAGAGAAACTGCTTCCAGGGCCCCCATCAGTTTCAAGCGGTACAACAAAGTTGAAGCTGCGATTTGCAAACACTTGCGGGAAAACGACAAAAAACAGCAGCTCTATAAAGTGAAACCAGCCAAAGTAAGAATATGCCTTGAATGCGTAAAAAAAGTTGCTATGCTTTGGATTCGAACCACCAGCCTCAAGATTTGGAGTCTCGCGTCCTTTCCTTCTCTCTCAGCCACCCCCTTAACGCTCAGCAAACATTAGTCACGATTAATGCAGAGAACAGATGCTATAAAATCTTCAAGGCTACAGATCGTGTTGATAATAGAAAAAGTGCCACCAAATAAGCATTTTTAATTGCGAGTTAGAATATAAAAAAGTAGAGCCATACTAATACACAACTATGATTTTGATCCCATCTTCATTCTTTTGCTACGAAAGAGAATCCGTTTTAATTGGTTATAATCGATTTTAACCGATTCAATTCCCTTTTATTTCCCCATTTTGATTTCAACCTGGTATCCAAGTTGCTTAATTTCTTTTTTTTATGAATGTAGGCTTGTGTGAAATTTGAGAAAACCATTTGAGATAATTTCAAATCAATTAACTTTTTTTCTTATTTTTTTTTTCGGTTCAATTTTGTTCATAATCAGTAGCGGATTTAGTGAGGGCGGACACCCTGCCCATAGGAGTTCCAGACCTTGCCGAACCAAAGGGGGTTCCCACGATGTACTATTTTGTCATATCCATTTTTGCTTGACTGGCCTTAATTTTTTCCAAAGGCGCCTTTGGCGCCCATATATACTAATTTTGAGGGGGAGCACGCGCTGAAAAAAAAAACAATTATTTTTTTCGTCAAAAATTCCTAAAAAGTGTCTATAAACGCCTTTTTTGGCCTGTCTCTTCAAATTGCCTACGGCGCAAAAAAAATTGGCCAAAATAGGGTCTTCCGTGATTTGGCAGAGCTCTGAGATTCAATTTAGCCGACCTAAGCAAGTCGACAAAAATTATATTTTTTTGAAAATCCGCCCTCACCTCGATAAAATCCTAGATCCACACCTGTTCATAACATACATTTTAAGTTTTTTTTTCGCCTTTTTGATATTCCTTTATCGACAGCAATTTTTGATGAATTATAAAAAAATATTTTTCGTGCTGTTAAATTTTGACTAAATATTATCAATTACTTAAGACTAAAGCTGATTTAAGTATTTTATCTTAAGCCTCAAAAATGAAATAGACTAACAGGATACACTGAAGTTGTCGGCATCAGTGAACATCTCCTTCACAGCCCCAGAGAACTGTTTCTTCAGAGCACCCACCTCCTCCCCAGTTGAGGCACTGTTAATCTGCAACGACAACAAAACAACTACTGAACCACTCGAACAAGCGTCGCCGGGATAATATTACGTTTTGCAATTAGAGCTAACTGGTCAAAAGAACATGACTCCAAGACCCTCTGTTGGGATCTCTTCACAATTCTAATTTTGCAGCATTCTGGTCGAAAATTTGACTAACTTTATCTAGTTAATAATACTTTTTTCAAATATTTTTTGAAAGGGTAATATTGTTTAGTAGATCTCTTTTTTGTTTCAACTGATTTTTAAATTTTCAGATTTGAAGCTCAGATTAAGACCGAGATGAATTTTTTCAAGACCATTTATCCACGGGGAAAGGACCAACACAAGAGCTGTACAGCTCATTACGGCGAACCGCTGTTGTGCCCCTGTTTAAGAACTACATTCTTTTTTTGGTTATTTTTCTAGGGTTGGGTAATGTTGCTTCACCCTCAAGCAAAAAGCAGGGATCATGGTGCGATCAACAGCGGGGATCTTTCGATTGAGAGGCGGAGACGTAACCACTTCACCACCGCTCCCCAATTTTAAAAAAGGATACCGAAATAAGGACATATTTTTGAAGTGACGCTTAAGCACGTCTAGGCAAAGATAAGTTCGGCGAGATTTGAAAATCTGAAAATGGTTTGATTTGATTTATCAGTCTAAGGTTTCAGAAGTATTTACGACTCTATGTGCCCAAGACTTTAAAACTCATTTTGAATTTTGCAGAGGCACTATCCAGTTTTCGCGGCGAACCCTATTTGATATCAAAGATATACGCGGAAAATGGAACTGAAGCTAAGTATAAATCCCAGGACAATAAATTGGCCATAAAATTTGAATTTGTATCTCAAAATAGAAATGTTTACCAATAAATCACGTTGCTTGTTTGTCAATATGAAGTTTAAAGCTGAATATATTTAAATGAGAAACAATTTTTTGAAAGTTGAAACGAACAGATTGAGTTCTAATTTAGACATTTAGAAGGGGGGTTGAGAAATTAGACGATAAGCAAAATAGACGGAGGTACATAAAAGGAATATAGACGATTTTGCAAAACTGCAATTGTGAGAAAATAGACGAAAGTGAGAGAGATTAAAATTGTTAGCAGACAAATTGCGCGAGAAAAATTTAATTGTTTGTAGACAACAGTTAAATTTCGGTAGCCAAAAATTTTACAAGTCAATCATGCATAACTTATTCAATTCAAAACTGCCTTGTAGTATTCGGATTTGACATTTTTTGTTCATTTAAACGAATTGTTTTGATAGGTATTGACATTTTATGTTCTTTTCGTATTTGTGGAACTTGACTCTTAAGAAAAAATTTTGTTGGCCCCTTCCTTTTCATAGCTTTTTCGTCTAAAATGCCAGATCTGTAAAAAATAAATTCCGTTTTTGTAGCATCCGTCTAATTTGCTTATCGTCTAATTTCCTAGGCCCCATTTAGTATCTTGAGAGGCATTTAGTGAAAAGGGAGAATCCCTCATGTGCAAGACCGAATGCGCGAACATTAAGTCATTTACTCAGAATTCAGTAACCATGAACTTGAAGGAAAATATATTCATTTTTGACGTCTGAAAACAGGCAGAATTTGTCTTATGATGATCTCCTAGACTGGGCTCTTTCATGTGGTCATTTACATAATTTATATCGATCAATGTGAAGCTATACTGGAAACTGGAAACAATTTATTTTTTGGAGAGTTTAAAGGGCCTGGATTGTTTGAGAATGTTCATGCATTCGGTTCTTGGCGCATGATAATAGCCCTTTGGGAAAGAAAGAGTGCTTACGTTGAATGTGACGTCCATGCAAATGCAGCAGACAGCTCTGGAGATAAAGCAGGGTCCCACAATCTTGAACACCTCATCGTCACTCCCACCCTCCGCGTCACCCATCTTCACACTGAAGGTCTGACGCCACCCCGAACACCTAGCAGACATGCCGCATAATTTAAAAAAGCTGCCTTGTAGTATCACACGACACTCCGCTAGTGTACATAAAGATGAATACTGGTGTTCAAAAAATAAGTAACCAAATTTGAAACGACATCCCGAAGAGCCTTTGCTCTGAGCTTACAAGAACAATCGCAGAAACCAAAAGTAATTAATTAATAATACCAACATTACTGCTATTCATTTTTTTATCGCTCAATTTATCATTTGACTTTACTCGTTGTGGATGCGTCCAATCACGATTCCAGGAGGACTCTCGACCACAATCTCGTGCTGTTGACATCCACAGCAGGGCATCCAGCAACACGTAGTCGCACAACACTTGAATTCCCTCGTAGCTCTGATCACCTAAAAATAATTAATAACTTACTGAACAATTTTATTTGCTGGATTGGAAGTAACAAATTTGATAACAAACCGATAACTAGCTTCACTCGCAGCCCTCTTTTTAACGTAAACAGGAAATCACTCGCAGCCCTTTTTAACTTAAACAGGAAATTAACAAAGACTCAGAAAGGCAAAATTGGACCACCAAAAATTGATAAATAGAAAGCAATGATATTTTTTTTTAAATCTGAGGGCTCTTGTATTTAGTTTTCGCCTACCTTTCTAAAAAGCTTGAAAATTGTCCTTTCATTTGGAAACAATAGCTAAATATAACCGAATGGAATAATGATCAAACCGATGAGAGATAACTGAATCTTTAGCGGATAGGTAATAGAATCTGTGATAACGTGGATATGATGTTTTCAGAGAAAAATGACTAGAAAAACAAAAGGATCGAAAATTTTCAAAAAAAAATTTCAAACTTTTTTAGCCATGTTTTGACGTTTTGTTTCTAAAAAAGTGCTTTAGTGCTAAAAAACTAACTTTTGCCGATTAAAATTAAAATTTTACCGCTTAAACAAAGCAATTGTACGCTTTTAAGCTATTCAAATAAACTATTGCAAGCCTGCTTGCTCGAGTTAATCACTCGAAATAAGAAAAATAAAATTTCAAACCGTTTTGCTCGACATAGGGAAAAAAAATTGGAAACTTTTTAATGTTCTAATCAAGACTGAAACGGCTTCAATATGATACATCACTCAACTATCTCCGATGATTACTTGTGGTAGCTGATTCTGGGTGGAAAACAAAAAAAAACAACAAACACACCCGAATACTAAATTCCTATCCATTTCTCTAACCGTCAGAACGCTATACCTTCTCAAAATTCCACAACTGACTCGAACACAACCATATCGATTCTTACTATCCTTTTGACAAAAGTACAAATCATTGAAACGCTTATCAAATGGCATGAAAGATTTTCAAGCAAAAATGTCAATATTCTTCGATTGTTGACATCAATCCCAAGGTGTGACAAAATTAGCTAAAATGGCAAACACAACCTGAAAGCAAAAAAAAAAACAGAAATGTAGATTATCAACAAAAAAATCATAGTTATTCTAATATGGTTCAGAAATGCATTATAAGTAGACGTTTTTTGGAGCTCAACTGAATCCAAACTCAGGATCTGGAATATAGCGGGGATGAACTGAAAAGACAGTCGCCAAAAATTCCGAATATCATAAGCCAGTTCTTTTTACACAAAAAAGTTGAAAATCAATCAAAAGCGCACCGTCGAACCAAACGTGACCAGAAAAAATTAAATTTGGAACTATTGCAAAAAAAAGTTCAACTAAATTTGGAGAGAACTTAACTGAAACTATAGGCCAATATCAGATGTGAACTCTCTAATTAGATCAAAGGTTGATGATCGAGAAAGAGAGCGGCCAGAATACTGAATATCGTCAGCCAGGTCTTTGAACACAAAAAATGTTGAAAATCAATCAGAAGCGCACCGTCGAACCAATAAAGACCAGAATAAATCAAGTTTGGAACTAATGCAAAAAAGCGTTCAACTAAACTTGGAGAGCCAAAGACCAGCATAAGAGAGAAATTATTTGATGAGATCAGTAATCTTTGTATCTTGCACGGTGCCAAATGGGGCCTAGAGACAGTGGCAAAAAAAGTGAACTCTGTCATCCAAGGGTGACTCTTCAATAAACTCAAAACATAGGAAAGCCAAAAAGGCGATGGGCATGTATGTGGGTAAAAAAAGTGAGCTTTAAATTGAATGATGTAAGCTTTCAAAAAACATGTCTAGCTATTTCTGTTCACTTTTAGAACCTCAAAGCCAACAACTACATTGTTTATAAACCACGGCGGCAATTAACAAAAAAAATTAAAAATTCTAGTTGCGCAAACTTCAGATCGACACTTTAAATTTTAAACCAATTTCAAGGATCATACGATCATCTTATATCTAGCTGTGGTACGTTTCTTGTGGTATGTTAGCTCTGCTCGATTCAGTTATTGACTCCAAAACGAATCCATCGATTCTGACTATCCTATTGACAAAATAGAAATCATTGGAAACGCTAATCAAATGAAATGAAAGTTTTCCAATCAATTTTCTTCGACTTTAGACATCAATTTCAAAGTTTGGCACACATTGCTAAGGTTTTTCCCATAGTATGAGCGAAAACAAAAACGAATATAAACAGCTGAGAAAGGATAGTTATTCTATAATGGTTCAGAAATGCATCATAAGTGGGCGTTCTTTGGAGCTCAACTGAATCTAAACTCAGGATCTGGAATATAGCGGGGATGAACTGAAAAGATAGTCGCCAAAAACTCCCAATATCATAAGCCAGAAAAACAATCAAAAGCGCACCGTCGAACCAAAAGTCACCAGAAAAAATCAAATTTGGAACTATTGCAAAAAGAGTTCAACTAAATTTGGAGAGAACTAAAGGCCAATATCAGATGTGAACTCTTTAATAAGATCAAAGGTTGATGATCGAGAAAGAGAGCGGCCAGAATATTGAATATCGTCAGCCAGGTCTTTGAACACAAAAAATGTTGAAAATCAATCAGAAGCGCACCGTCGAACCAATAAAGACCAGAATAAATTAAGTTTGGAACTAATGCAAAAAAGCGTTCAACTAAACTTGGAGAGCCAAAGACCAGCATAAGAGAGAAATTATTTGATGAGATCAGTAATCTTTGTATCTTGCACGGTGCAAAATGGGGCCTAGAGACAGTAGCAAAAAAAGTGAACTCTGTCATCCAAGGGTGACTCTTCAATAAACTCAAAACATAGGAAAGCCAAAAAGGCGATGGGCATGTACGTGGGTAAAAAAGTGAGCTTTAAATTGAACAATGTAAGCTTTCAAAAAACATGTCTAGCTATTTCTGTTCACTTTTAGAAACTCAAAGCCAACAACTACATTGTTTATAAACCACGGCGGCAATAAACAAAAAAAAATTAAAAATTCTGGTTGCGCAAACTTCAGATCGACACTTTAACCATTTTGAACCAATTTCAAGGATCATACGATATTCTTATATCTAGCTGTGGTACGTTTCTTGTGGTATGTTAGCTCTGCTCGATTTAATTATTGACTCCAAAACGAATCCATCGATTCTGACTATCCTATTGACAAAAATAGAAATCAATAGAAACGCTACTCAAATGAAATGAAAAGTTTTCCAATCAATTTTCTTCCACTTTAGACATCAATCTCAAAAATTTGGCACACATTGCTAAGTTGGGTCCCATAGTATGAGCGAAAACAAAAACGAATATAAACAGCTGAGAAAGGATAGTTATTCTATAATGGTTCAGAAATGCATCATAAGTGGGCGTTCTTTGGAGCTCAACTGAAACTAAACTCAGGTCCTGGTATATAGAGGGATGACCGGAAACGAGAGCGGCTAAAATATATAATATCGTCAGCCAAGTCTTGTAAGACAAAGAATGTTGAAAATCAATCAGAAGCGCACAGTCGAACCAATAGTGACCAGAATAAATTAAATTTGGAACTATCGCAAACAAGAGTTCAACTAAATTTGGAAAAAGTTATAGACCAACATGACATAGGAACACTCTCATTAGATAAGCAGCGGCCTTCGTTTTTTTGCACTGTGCAAAATGGGGCCTAGAGACAGTGGTGACAACAATCTCTGTCATCCAACGGTGACTCTTCAATAAATTCAAACCATCGGAAAGACAAAAAGGCGATGGGCATGTATGTGGGTAAAAATGTGAGCTTCAAGTTGAAAGATGTAAGCTTTCAAAATACATGTCTAGCTATTTCTATTCGATATTCGAAACTCAAAGCTTATAATAACATTGTTTATAAACCACGGCAATTAACAAAGAAAACTTAAAAAATTCTAGTTGCGCTTATTTCAGATCAAAACTTTAAATTCTAGACCAGTTTCAAAGTTCTTACAATCATCCTATATCTAGCTGTGGTACGTTTCCTGTGGTACGTTAGCTGTGCCGGATTCCAATATTGACTACAAAACAAATCCATCGATTCTGACTATTTTTTTGGTAAAAATACAAATCATTGGAAACGCTAATCAAATAGCATGATAGTTTTTCAATCAGTTTCTCCGACTTTTGACATCAATCCTTAAGTGTGGCACACATTGCTAAGGTTGGTCCCATAATATGAGCGCAAAAGACAAACGAAGATAATCAGCTGAGAAATGACAGTTATTCTAACATGGTTCAGAAAAGCATCAGATGTGGGCGTTTTATGGAGCTCAACTGAATCTAAACTCAGGTCCTTGATTATAGAATGATGATCGGAAAAGAGAGCGGCCAAAATATATAAAATAGTCAGCCAGGTCTTTTAACACAAAGAATGTTGAAAATCAATCAGAAGCGCACAGTCGAACCAATAGTGACCAGAATAAACTAAATTTGGAACTAATGCAAAAAAGCATTCAACTAAACTTGGAGAACCATAGACCAACATAAGATAGAAATTATTTGAGGAGATCAGTAGCCTTTGTTTCTTGGGCGGTGCAACATGTGGCCTAGTGACAGTGATAAAATCGATCATTGTCATCCAATGGTGACTCTTCGATAAATTCAAAACATCGAAAAAACAAAAAGGCGATGGACATGTATGTATGTGCGTGACAATGTGAGCATTAAGTTGAACGATGTGGACTTTCAAAATACATGTTTTACAACTTCTATTCGATATTAGAAACTCAAAACTAAAAATTCCGTTGATTATAAGCCACCGCAATTATCAACGAAAACTGGAAACAAAATTCTAGTAGCTGAAATTTTAGATCGACACTTCAAATTCAAAACAAATTTCAAGCTCTTACAATAACCCTATATCTAGCTTTCGTATTTTGTGATAAGGGACCCCATACGGGTCAATCGATTTTCCAATTAATGTATTTATCATATGTTTGCAAACTTTGATATTAAAGTAGAGACACTAGTTTCACCTTCTCCAGATCACTCTTATCTTTTTTTCCTGGTGTCCTTTACAAAAAAATGTTTGTTACCAAAAAATTATCTAAATTTCGGAAATTGAAATCTCGGTAAACAAATCTGATTTAACTCTTGATCCTTTTGCACCATTGGATTAAAAAAACAGTAGTCAGTTACAAATGCAAAATCATGCTCTCGAAAAACGAGATCAATTTTTCAGAAAAGTGGTCCTGAAATTCAATTGAAGGAAGTCAGTTCGATTATGCAAAGATAAAAAAAATAACGACCGAGGATTTGGAAAAGAGAACAACTCTATAGCAGTGTTTCAGATTTTCAATGAGTTTTGTCAAACAAACGTGAAGATTACGAGTTTTGTTGATGCTGGTATATTGTATTAGTTGACATGGTTTCGTCTGCTAAACTGTTGAAATTGGTGCTTTGTGATAAAAATTTGAGTTCAATCAGATTTTTGGTTAAAAAAAGCATCACTCGTCTGAGATATTGAAATTTGTGTCCGTAAATTGACTTGAGTCGATTGGATAAATTTTTTTAGTTGAACTAGCATCTTTCTAAATGACTGAAGTAAGCAGAGCTGATTCCTTCAGGGATAAGCTTCTGGAACAACTTTGTTTTTGATATAATTTGAGGGTTTTTCAATCATTGTTGATAGATCTGAGCTAGTTTTGTTTGCTGAGTCTGATGCCTGTTAAATCTCAGATCATGAAAGTCAGTAGTAAGCAGGGGGCGGATCCAATATCTTCTCGAGAGGTGAGGGGGGCGGATTTTCAAAATTGTCGAGTTTTTTTTAAGGTAGACCACCAAATTGATCTTCTGAGCCATCTCAAATCACTATAAAGGCCTTATTTGGACCAGATTTTCTGCACCGCAGGCAAATTTTTGGAAAAAAAAAACAGGTAAAAAATCGTTTGGAGCAAAAAAAAATTGACCAAACAATTGCGTTTTGTTTCGGCGATCGCTCCCCCTCAAAATTAGCATATACTGGCCATAGGCGCCTTTAGAAAAATTCTAGCTCCAGTGAGCCAAAAATGGATACCTCAAAATAGTACAAAAGGGGACCCTTCCCTTTGGGTTGGCAGGTGGACGTTTTTTACACCAAAGCATCGGTTTTGAAACATTTTATGTAACGGTTCTCAATTCGCTATTAAACAGCTGAAGGTTGGATCGTGGGTCTCAATTTGACATGGTAAAGCTCGTAAACTATGTCAAATGAAACTTTACAAATATAGTCCATCTGCACAATCAATTTACCCTATCATAAACGAATTCCGTCTCCTCCAGGATTCGAGTTTAAACGAGGGGGAATCGCGTGGGTGACCTCGTGTTTTGATCAATGCTTCAAACAGCTGAATAATTTTTGGCGATGTTTCAGTCAAAATTTCAAAAATGATTACCTCTCTCTGCGTGTTGTCGACTATCTTCATGACGAAGCCACGCCTGTTTTTGCAGCACTGTTTGGCACAGCAGCCGGAGCTCTCCAGAGCATAGTAGCACTGCTGGCCCATCGCATTCTTAATCGCGTACTTGTTGTCAGTCTCCCATCCAGTAAAAGCTGAAAAAGGACTTTTTTTTAAGTAAGTGTAGCTAGTAAAAAAGAACCTAATGTAAGAATCCTTTAACGTTCCTTTATCAATCAGCAGGAAAAAATCATGAGAAGTCTTTAAGATTTTATGATAAGTTTTTAGTGATGTTATTTGAAGTTGCCTTATGTGTTCTCATTTCGATCAAGATGTTGTCTGATCAGGTCTACATCTTTGTACGCTGCTTGTAGTTAAATTGACAAGCCCACAAAAAATAAGAAAAATGCAGGAAGGTTAAAACAAGGGGCATAATAACAGTTCACGGATGAAAGCTAAACAACTCGCATGCTGGTACGCTTCTGTAAAAAAAATTCTTATTGTATTTGATTTCATTCAGGTTTCAGAAAGATGATTAAAGACTAGTTAAGATTTAAGACGATTTAACCACAAGGAAATAACCAACATACGAGCTCTTGAGCTCTTTACGGAGAACCGTTATTGTCTCTACTTAAGAACTGCACGCATTTTTTAGTAATTTTTCTAGGCTGGCTAAAGTTGCCTCACTCTCAAGCAACGAGCACGGATGATGGGTCTCGAACATCCGACCTTTCGATTGAGAGACGAAGACGTAATTTTCAATCCTCAGACGGAGATGTTTACCACCGCTTCCCCTTAGCAGACCTTTACTTTTAAGGTTGAGAGATATCGATTGCTTTCTAGACAAAATGGAAATTATGAATGAATTGAAAAAATTAACATCTGAAATTTAACGCTTTTAATGACGTGACTTCCGCGTATAGTCACAATGAAAAATTACCTTCTAGCAGTTCTACGACTTGCTGTACGAGCACCTGATCCAACTGTGCCAGATACTCCAATCCAGGTGGTATGTTACTACCCGATGCCCCAGCTTGAGGAGTGGCCATCCAGCCTCCGGGTCCCATCATGTTCGGAGGGTTAGGCGGTTGTCCCGGCTGAGCTCCTTGATGTTGTCCACCTGGCTGGATGAATCCAACTTGACCTGTCTCAACTGGCTTCGACATCTTAACAAACAAACGAAAAAGATAAATTAAGCCTCATAATAAAAAATTTTTAAAAAGTTTTTTAAATAAAAGTTTTTTAAAATAGAAAAACAATTTGTGGGCAGTAAAATAACATAAACTCTATCCCGAAGCTCCTGAAATGAAGTTTAATTCAGCTTTGAAGTTTAATTCAGCATTGAAGTTTAATTCAATAGCAAAACCGATTAAGCTGTCGACCAAACGGAGTTCTACCGACCAAACGGAATTCTACCGACCAAATCGATTACATCTTAATCTGTATCAGTGACTGAAAAAATCATACTTAAGATATTTAAGGCTGATTTTTAGTAATGGGCCAACAAAGGAACTGTCTAATTGATGAAAATGGGAAGCCAGGTGTTGCAAATTTATTATCTTACCTTTAAAAATGGCTAGCTAATCGTAATCGAACCTGTCGTACGTTTCGTATTTCAAATATGATAATGATCAACGTTTGTTTGATTCAGATTATGACGCAGCCGCCAATAAGTCAATAAGCGGTTTGAAACACATTCATCAGAAATAGAACGAAACAGTCCAACAAGATGTGTGATATATGCAGAACTGACTTGTTTGAATAGAAACATGAGCTTTTGTTTCAGCTTTGGATCGCTCGGTGTTTGTGAGCGAACAATGCAAGATACTAGCCTACAAGTAGTTCAGAAAACATTCGAAACAATGAGGATGAGTTCGATACGTAGGCTGATATATCATGTTTGTAACAAAATGACATCCCATTTTTACCATGGTAGTACCAAGCCTCTGTCGGGCTTAAACTCGAAAGAAAAATTCAAACTCAAAAGATTCTGCAAATTATGTAGTAATTGTTTTTACTAAGCAACATATTTGAAAATCTTAGCTTAACGTTCCGACAGCTCCACGAAGTGGTAGGCAACTATGGCTTGTGATGGGTTTCTTTTTTCCCGCGCAGTAGTTTTAGATAGCTCAAAGAAAGAAAGAAAGAAAGAGAGCTCCGTATTAAAGAGTTCGCAGCAATAAGGATCAACCCCCCCCCCCCCCCCCCCCCCCAGATAGACTAGACCAAGTTATGATCTTCGACCCCAGCCTTTAATTCGCATTAAATTTAAATTTCCTGAGCTCTGCATGTAAAATGCTCGATTCTGATTGGCTAAATATTTCTAATTTAGAACCTAGTTAACATTCTCCACCTAAATGGCTTTGGGGGGGGGGGGGAGGATGTTAACTTGGTCCGGCAACAATAATTTATAATTTATGGAAAATGATGCGAATTCCGAAGAAAAATAACCCAGCTTCACAATTCCGAAAGTTTCGCTATTCAGATTAATTTTTCAATCCACTATCAATTTTCAATACTAAGAAGACGAAGAAGAAGAAGAATTAATTTCACTTAACAATCAGATACATTATTACATTAAACAAAAAGTATATTTTTTATCACATAATAAATGAATCAACAGTTTACCCAAGATTGTTAAGTGAGGATACGCAAAGGGTTTTCTTCAAACCCACTAGGAGCGTACCCCACAAATAACACAAAAAAAGCACATCAATGAGTTATGAATAAGTGATAAATATAATATTTGTGAAACCAATTAGCAAAAAGAAAAAATTATACGTTTTTTAGAAATTATTTAACGCCTCATCCACCTCGCGAAAAAAGCCCTTAATTTCTCTAGAAATTTGGGCAGAGTAACGCCTTCTTTTTGACCATTTTTCACAATTTCTTGAAAAAGCAAAATTTAGGTGCAAAGCAAAACAACCCAAAACTGTATACCCATACTCAGACTTGAATAGTATTAAACTATGTTGCCCGGAGACAACGCCTGGTCTTCTGAAAGACTACAGTTCGAGCCACCTCACCCCGCACCTGAACACAGTCATATTTATAATCATAAAGCAAAAATATACCTAACAAATTCGTAATTTTCATGTATCAACGTATCTCTAAGCATATGTGCCAAATTATTTAGTTCCCCTTTTTTTAAGTTTAAAACATTTTCCGGGAGCAAGTTATTATCACTAAATATCTTCAACAGTTTGCATCCTCTTAGCCATATCGATTGTCTTTTCGTTTTTGTCTTACAGCAAGGAGCTTCAAATTGAATACCTATAGATTTTCTGTTAAAATAAGCCGATTTTGTTTTCAGAGTGAAAAAATCGTTAAGAAATGCGGTTGAATTCAACTTGTTTATTGGTCTTCAGCAAATTTGAGAAGATCGTACACATACAGCTCATGAACTGTTAAGATTTTGTGTTCTCTAAACCTTTCCCTAATACTATCAAATTTCCTTACCTTGTAAATCATTCGAATTATTTTTTTCTGCAAAAGGAAAATTGGATTGAGATTCGAGAAGCTCGTTCCCCCATATACAAGTAATCCATATTGTATAATGGGTTTGATGTTGTAACAATAATATTTTATTAGCACATCTATCGGTACAAATTTTCTCATTTGAGCAATAACTCTACAATGCCTTCCTAGTTTCGCTTTTACTTTTTCAACGTGCGTACAAAATGACAGTTTTGAATCCACAAAAATACCTAGATATTTGCAATACGCCTTCGAAGTAACCATATAATTGTTAAGGTACAACTGAAGACTGGAAGCACTTGCTTTATTTTGGAAACTTAGTAATATTGATTTGTCTCCATTAAGTGTTAGCTTAATTCTATTTAGCCAGTAACACATATTTTGTATGTCGTTGGTGAAGACTTCGAAAGATTCGTTTTCACAAGTGACATTGGTATCATCTGCAAATAGGTAAACGGTTGTGTCTTTTACGCAATTGGGCATATCATTAATATATATTAAGAACAATAACGGACCGATCACGGAACCTTGCGGAACTCCATGCGAAACATTCGTCCAATCAGAGTAAACGGAGTTTGTGAACACACATTGCCTACGATTGCAGAGATAATTTCGAAACCAATCATTACACACTCCTCTTATTCCGTAGTTTTCTAATTTGTGTAAAAGTAGTTCATGATCCAATGTATCAAAGGCTTTCTTAAGATCTAGGAACATACTGAATTTCATTGATTTACCACCGTACCTAAGTTTTCTGTTAACTCAACTAATGCATCGATAGTATTGAATTTCTGTCTAAATCCAAACTGTTTTTCATATAAAAGGTTGAACTTGTTCAAATAGTTGTATAGGCGAATATGAATTAATTTTTCAAAGATTTTACTGCAACAATTTAGTAAGGAAATGGGCCTGTAGTTATTTTCATCTGTTTTACTACCTTCTTTATAGAAGGGCTGGATTTTGGCGCTCTTGAGTTGTTCGGGATACTGGCCGGATTCGAATGAGAGGTTTATCAAATAAGTTAAATATGGCGCAATTACATGAGAAACTTTCTTGATGATAATATTGCTTATTTCATCTACTCCCGTAGACTGTTTCGCTTTTAGATTCTCTATTATTTCCAGGACTTCGAACATTGTTACTTTATGTAAGAACATTGATTGTGGTGCATCATATTTTGAATAAGTCCCATGAGACTCTCTGCTATCACTTGGTAATGATGCCAGAAGTTTTGACGCAATGTTAGCGAAGTGATCATTTAAGTGGTTGGCGATCTCCTGATTATTATCTATTTCTAAATCTCCATTTTTAAGAAGAGGAACGTTTCCACTCCTTGGACATTTTCCTATTATTTCATTTAATATTTTAAAAACCTGTCTCGAGTATCCAATGCAATTATTGAACCTATTGTAATAGTAATTTCTTTTGCTTAGCTTAACTAATTTTTCTACTTTACTCCTCTCGGCGAGGAATTTTTCGCGCTTGGTCTTATTTGTTTTGTTACATTTCCATTCCTTATACATTCTGTTCCTGGAACTAATTGCCTTTTTTATTTCTTTGCTGACCCAACCTGCCGAAGAGCAATCTTTAGCAGTGCATATACGTACAGGTGCATATTCATCAATCGTTTTGTTAAAGCAATTTTGGAAAGATTCGTACGAGGAATTGATATTTTCATCAACTAAAAGTTGTGCTCCTTCTAATTTTACTTTAAGGGAATTTTGGAAACTAAGGATTTTAACTTCATCGTTAAGGAATTTTAAGTCCCGAAATATTTTCGTTGTATCCTGTTTACGAGATATTCTGAATTTTAGCAAAATTGGGCAATGATCAGTAAACGTATGCTCTTCCAAAATTTTTACTTCATATTCCAGAATATTTTTTACAAAGAAATGGTCGATACACATGTTTGATTCAGCTGTTATTCGAGTTGGGGTATCACTTGTGAGAATGAAGCCATTTGCTGCTATAGTATTTAGATAGTTATTTACAAGGTTACCTTGTTGTAAGATATCAATATTAAAATCACCGCCAAAAATTATAGGGCCATTGTGGTTTGACAATTCTTCAAAAAACTCATCTAATTTTTCGATGAATAATCCTTTATCGGAACGTGGCTTTAAATAGGTAACAACCAAAATGATTCTAACATTCGCATATTTCACTAATATTGCCTTAGTTTCTGGTAAGCTACATTTTATCTCTTGGATGTAACTAAAATTATCTCTAATTTGGATCATCGACCCACCACCTCTATTCATTTGTCTATTACAAGCAAAGGACGTGTAATTTTTCATTGTAAAAAGCTCTTTATTATCTTCCTCACTTAGCCATGTTTCTGTAGTAAAAATGACTTTTGGAGACTCGAGACATTTAACTAGTGCTTCCAGTTCTTCACTATGTTTTTTAATCGATCTAGTATTACACAACAAGACTGTAAAATTAGTAATTACATCGCACTTGGAGTTTTCAGGTTCCAAAGGAGCCAGACTCTCCCTTAAAAATATCACTTTTATTTACAAAGCAATTCATTATATCTTTTACAGTATATCCCAACTTCGCCACTCCTTCATAAAGGCTAGTTATTTTTTCAACTCTTTCGCTGTTCTTCCACTGATAGAGCAGATTCCCGTCCCTGGTCCAAACTCCATTAATACGGTTATCCTGTTTCATGAATTTCATAAAATTA